AACAAACATCACAACTACAACGACCAGACGGGCATAACGGCGGCCGCTCAACCTTGAATTAAACCCCAAAAACTCCAGAAAGAAAGAAAGAAAAAAAAAAAACTTAAAACCTCCGGGGATGTGACGCGTCGACAAGAACTCGCCCCTCCAAATGGACACGCACCGGGGGGAAGGTCAGCAGGGTACGGAACACGCCCACGCCCACGCCCGCACGCACAAGACAACTACGCTGTGTCACCTTGGCGGGGAAGGTACGGCGGAGGGGGGGAGGTGGGGGAATAGGGATAAAGAGTAAAGAATATAGGAAAAGGAATGAGAGAGAAGGAAAAAGGGATAAGGAATAAGGGTGAAGGAATAAGAGTGAAGGAATAAGGAATAGGGGATAAGGAAAAAGGAATAAGGGATAAGGGATAAGGGCGAAGGAATAAGGAATGAGAGAGAAGGAAAAAGGGATAAGGGAGAAGGAATAATGGATAAGGGAGAAGGAATAAGGGATAAGGAGAAGGAATAAGGGAGAAGGGAGAAGGAATAAGGGATAAGGGAAGGGATAAGGGAGAAGGAATAAGGGATAAGGGCGAAGGAATAAGGAATGAGAGAGAAGGAAAAAGGGATAAGGAGAAGGAATAAGGGATAAGGGAGAAGGAATAAGGGAGAAGGGAGAAGGAATAAGGGAGAAGGGAGAAGGGAGAAGGAATAAGGGAGAAGGAATAAGGGATAAGGAGAAGGAATAAGGGATAAGGAGAATGAATAAGGGATAAAGGAGAAAGAAAGAAAAAAGAGAGAGGACGAGAAAAATGTGACGTCGCACAAGAAACCAGAAAAAAGGAGAGGAATGGAAAGAAAAGAAAAGAGAAAAAAATGAGGAATGATAAACAAGAAAGAAAGAAGAGAAAATAAAAAGTTAAAAAGAAAAACAGAGGAGCAAATAAAAAATAAAAAAAGGGGAAGAGAACAGGAGAGAAAAAAAAAACCCGGAGAGAACGAAAGAAAAAAATATCCAACAAACAGCGATAAAAAACGAGATAAATGAAGAGCAAGAGAGAGAAAAAAAGGGAGAGGAGAGAGATAGGGTGAGAGGTAAAGCCTGTTGCTGGGTTGTGCCACATCCTTGATTCGTCTTCGTCACTCCTTAAGGACCTCACACTTTAGGACCCTGGAGGAGGAGGAGGAGGAGGAGGAGGAGGAGGAGGGGAAGGAGGAGGAGGGGAAGGAGGAGGAGGGGAAGGGAGGAGGAGGAGGAGGAGGAGGGGAGGAGGGTGAGGAAGAGGAGGAGGGGGAGGGGGAGGAGGAGGAACAGGGGGGGAGGAGGAGGAGGAGGAGGAGGAGGAGAGGGAGGAGGAACAGGGGGGGAGGAGGAGGAGGAGGAGGAGGAGGAGGAGGAGGAGGAGGGGGAAAAGGAATGAAAGAGTAATGAAATGGAGGAGGAGGAGGAGGAGGAGGAGTGAAAGAAGAGTGAGAGGGAGGAGGAGGAGGGGGAAGGAGATTCAAGAGTGAGTGGGAGAGGGAGGGGAGAGGGAAGAGAAGGAAGAGGAGTGAGAAAGGGGGGAAAGGAAAGCAGGAGTAGTAGTAAGAGGGAGGGAAGAGGAGGTGAAGGAGAGGAGAGGAGAGGAGAGGAGAGGAGAGGGAGAGAGTGCGAGAAAGCACAAATGAACAAGATACAGACTAAGAAAAAGGAAAGAAAGTGAGAAAAGAGTATATCTTTTCGGAAGAGTAATAAAATGACGAGACAAAAAAAGAAAAATAAATAAAAAAGTAAAGGAGGTGAGGGAGGGAATGAGGGAGGAGGCGAACGAGCGAGGCAGGTGCAGGAGGCGGAGGCAAATGAAGCGACACGCCCCCCCCCCCCAACGAGCCTCCCTCCTCCTCTCCCACAGGAAGCGAAGGTGTCCGAGGCGGCGTGGCAGACGATGCCTTGAGCCGAGGTCGAGGATGAGTGTAAATGCGACGGGAGACAATTGCACGATTTGTTGCACTGACCCTCATCCCCCCCCCCCCCCCACACACACAGCCTGACCCTTACCTCCCGGGGCCCTCAGCCTGGCACTCGTCCCCCGGGGCCCTCAAGCTCGTCCGTCAAACAAGCATTATATATAACCTTCAGCGTTGACAAGCGTTAGGGCGACAAGATTTGTGGCCAGGTCTGGTGTGTGTGCGTGTGTGTATACATGGGTACGTATATTACGACTTTCCCGCGGACTCACTAGGGTGGATTCTTGGTTTCTGTGGGTGCTTGTGCGCCGCGCTCTCCCTCCCGCAGAAGCATCTATAGAGTCACGGACGCTGACTCACTCTTTCACCCTTTCAACTCACTCACTCTCTTCTCCATCTCCCTCTCCCTCTCCCTCTCTCCTTCTTTCTCTCTCTCTCTCTCTCACACACACACACACGCACACGCACACGCACACGCACACTCACTTAGACAAACCACAAACGAAGGCAAAACTAACCTGGCCGCAGACACACTGCCTTCTGCTGGGTAATGGCTCGCCAACAACACCGTCTGCAACAAAGGAGAAAAAGAGACATATTAGTAAAATCTCTAAGTTCAACTGCACCTTTTCATCAACACTCATTACGTCAACTGGTGGGAAATGTGGCAACGACGCACCGAGGTTTCCAAACATCAGGCAATTATTTCGAGGTTGTTTTAAATTGTCTTTTTTTGTTTTGTTTTGTTTTGTCCAGATGAATGGAGAGAATAATAATTTTACAGATTCCAAGGATTAAATACCGTACAACCCCGCCATTATAAAATCAACAGAGTCTGGTTTGGTCCCTCGATTTCGCATCCATTAAACAACCATCATTAACATAACTCGTAAACATCGAGAAAATCCACTCATTTCAGAAACTGACTTCCAAGCTGCTTAAGTCGGCTAAGAATATTTAGAAAATAAAATATCGAGAACCAAAATAATGCAACGGCAGCAAAAGGAGAAATTGTGAAAAAGATAAACAAAACCGAAAGAAGAAGAAGAAAAAAACAATAACAAATACATAAAGGAAAAAAAATGAAAACAAACAAATCCAAAAAAGAAGAAAAAAAAAAACGAAACAAACCGTTTAAAAAAATATATCCAAAAAAAGAAAACTTAAAAAAAAAAAAACAAAACAAAAAACGAAAAAAACACGTTAAAAAACAGCAAAAACAATAAACGCCAATAAACGCCAGAATCCCAACCCCCAACACCTTAAAAAAAAAAAAAAGACGCACGCATCCAGGGGGATTGAGCTCCCTGACTCGGATCTGCAACCCCGCGTCTCCCGCCCGGCGTCCATCACCTTCCTCTGTATCGTTGACACACATCAACATGCACAATAAAGCATAAATTGCTGCCGCTGATAAGAAAGAGGAAGGGCGCGGAAGAGGACAAAGGCCAGGCAGGAGGAGGGTGGAGCGAGAATGAAGGGAGAGGGAGAGGGAAGGGGGAGGGGGGAGGGGAGAGGGAGGGGGAAGGAGAGAGGGAGGGAGGGAGAGAGCGAGGCGAGGGAGAGGAGGAAGGAGAGAGCGAGGCGAGGGAGAGGAGGAAGGAGAGAGCGAGGCGAGGGAGAGGAGGAAGGAGAGAGCGAGGCGAGGGAGAGGAGAGGGAGAAGGGGAAGGAGAGAGGGAGAGGCAGAGGGAGAGGCAGAGGGAGAGGGAGAGGGAGAGGGGGAAGGAGGGAGAGGGAGAGGGAGGGAGGGAGGGAGAGGGAAGGGGAGTGAGTGAAGCGAGTGAGACGAGTGAGTGGATGAGGGTGAGGGAGGGGGAGAGGGAGGAGGAAGGTGAGTGAGTGAGGCGAGTGAGTGAGGGAAAGGGAGAAGAAGATGGAGGAGGAGGAGGGTGGTAAAGGGAGGAAGGGAGGGAGGGAAATAGAGAGATATAAATAGGCAGACTGGTCGAGAGAGAGAGAGAAAGAGAGAAAGAGAGAAAGAGACAGAGATCACGAAAGAGACAGATAGACCAAGAAAGAGACAGACAGACCAAGAAAGAGACAGACAGACCAAGAAAGAGACAGACAGACCAAGAAAGAGACAGACAGACCAAGAAAGAGACAGACAGACCAAGAAAGAGACAGATAAACCAAGATCGAGAGACAAACAGAGAGAGAAAAAAAAAGTAAACTAAAAAGAGGAGAGAGAGCGAGATGGCGCACACAAAGAGGATAAAGCAGCCCATCGTGATATGCAGTTATTCCTTAGGACAGCAGCTCGCCGTGTTTCTCGACCACCGCTGAGAACAATTACAATGATGGACATGCAAACACACATACCCTCTCCGCCTCATACTTAAAACCTAAGCCTTTCTTCCTTATTTCTTCTTTCTCCCTCTTTCTCTCCCTTTCCTCTCCTTCCTTCCTTCCTTCTTCCTTATTTCTTCATTCTTTCTCCCTCCTTTCTCTCCCTTTTCTCTCCTCCTTCCTTCCTTCCTTCTATTCTTTTCTCCCTTCATTCCTCACTTCCCTCCCTTTTTCCTCTCCTCCTCTTCCCTTCCTTTTCTCCCTTCATTCCTCACTTTTCTCCCTTTCTTCTACCTCTTCTTCCTTCCCTCCCCTCCCGGTATTCCTCACTTCTCTCCTTTTCCTCACCTTCTCCTCCTCCCTTCATTCCCTCCCTTTATTCCTCACTTCCTGTTAAGAAAGAATTAATGGTATTGGAGAAATAAAGAATGATTTTTAAAAATCATAATGGAATAATGATAATGAAAGGATAAAGAATATAAAAAAAATCATAACGGAATAATGAATAATAAAAATTAAGAAATAATTAATAAAACATAACGAAATAACGATAACGCAGAATTTTTTAAAAATAGCAGAAAAAAACAATAATAAAGATGAGGAGAAGCAGAAAAAAAACAACAATAAAGATGAGAAGCAGAAAAAAATAAGGATAAGGAAAAGCAGGAGAAAATAAAGATGAGGAAAAACAGAAAAAAACAATAATAAAGATGAGACGAAGCTGAAAAAAAAACAAAGATAAGGAGAAGCAGAAAAAAAAACAATAATAAAAATGAGAAGAAGCAAGAAGACACGTTGGTCATGTCATCGCGGTATTTTTAAACGGAGTCGGGCGCTCGTTATGCCACGCTATAATGCTATTCCCGGACCCCCGTCATAGGGAACTCACGGTCAACCACAACTCGCGTCTACGTCCGCTGCCCCAACGCTGCTTGCTGAGTAATGCTTGCAGAACAGGGTAAGGGGGGTGGGGCGATGGGGGTGGGGCGATGGGGGTGGGGCGATGGGGGTGGGGGTGGGGTGGGAGGAGGTAAAGTTATTAGGAGAATCATGGGGGGGGTGGGGGTGGCAGGAGGGAAAGTTACTAGGAGCATCCGAGGGGGTGGGGGTGGCAGGAGGGAAAGTTACTAGGAGCATCCGAGGGGGTGGGGGGAGGGAAAGCTACTAGGAGAATCAGGGGGGGGTGGGTGGTGGGGGGGATACTAAGAGAATGGGGGAGATTTCTAGGAGTATTGAGGAGGGGGGGGGGGTACTGGGAGCATGGAGGGGGGTGGGGGGGCAGCACAAAGAAAATTTGAATATAAAAATAATAGAATAAAATACGACGTAAGCTTCACCGTCACGTTCTTTCCTTTACTTGTTATTTATTTTCCCGCGTCAAGATTCGTCGTAAGTAAACAAACAAACATGAGTGAAAGAGAATGGCATTGTTAATTTCGAAGTTAAAATGCTCCTGACAACCCGGAAGATCAAACAGAGCGAATAAAGGTGTTATTTAGCCACTTTATTAACGTCCGAGGGCTAAGTGCAGTGGGCGTGATGGTGGGAACGAGAGGCGAGGTCCTGGCGACACCGAGGGAGACGTCTGCCCTCGGCCAACTCCTCTCCTCCTCCGTCGTGAATGAAGTATTCGCTCTAATTCAACCACCAGGCAGAGGCCAACAAAAAGAACAATAACAACGGAAGAGAGAGAGAAAGAGAGAGGGAGAGAGAGAGAGAGAGAGAGAAAGAAAAAAAAAAGATCCGCTATGACTACTGTGGTATATTTGTCCCAAGCGACGTTTGTATCTAAGTCTAGCCGTTGATATCATGAAAGCTGCTGGCCTGTCTTTTTTTTTTTTTTTTTTTTTTTTGCCGCGCCGCACATACTTCGCGGTGTGTGTGTGTGCGTGCCGGACGTTCGCGAGCAGAGCCTCACACCCCCGGGGGCTGCAATTGCGTAACAAGCACAGCCGACGATCTCTTCAGGTGCCCTTATAAAGCCTCGCAAGCATTTCTTGAATGTTTGCGAAACCTTGACTTAATCGAGGCATGAAGGACTGCTGTTCGGAGGAAAAAAAAAAAAGAGCGGGCGATCGTGTTTTGTCTCAGGCTGTCGAGACGGAGATGACAACAGTGCGCAGCAGCGTTCGCCGACTCTGTTGCGGATACCCGGCACGGATTGTTGTATGCGAACGCTGGCGGTTGTTGTTGTTCCTTTTAACCACCACAGGCAGTCATTTTGGTTGTGCTTGGTCTCTTCGCTGGAGGTGTTTTTTTTAAGCCAACAAGCAGAGGCAGAAGTCGCAACGGTGTTTGGTCTCTCCATCATTTTAATACAGGCACAAAAAAAGTAGAGTTCAAAGCCGCCATCAAGACATTAAATGCATAGAACACGGATCAGGGGTCTTATGAGACAAGACCCATACAACATAAGCGCTCAACCAGGGACCAACTGTATATAGAGGAGATAGGATAACAAAAAGGTGGGAGGGGGAGGTTGAAGAAAGGGTAGAAGGGGGAAGGGGGGAGAAAAAGGGAGAGCGTGGGAAGAGAGAGGAGGCAGAAGAAGAGAAGGAAAGCAAGAGAAAAGCGAAGACAAAGTGAAGAGACAGACAGAGAAACAACTGTGGTACAAAAGAGAAAGAGAAAAAAAGGACCAAAAACACGAGACAGCAAAGGAAGGAAAAGAGACAAAAAGAGACGGACGACGGACGAAACAAAAGCAAAAGAAAAGAAGTAAAGAAACGCAAAGAAAAAAAGAAAAGACTAACAAAAAGAAATGAAACAAAGGCGCGGAAGCTAAAGGAAAATAAACAAAAGCAACAAAGCAGCCCTCCACCCCCCTCCCTGGCCCCTTCGCTGCCCCCCCTCCCCCTCTCATGCACAAAATCCCACAAGCAGGACGTGAGCCACAGTGCATGACCAAACTCACATGCCACGACCCACGGGACAAGCATGGGAGAACTGCATGCGAATCTGAGCTCTGATGACGGTAGTGATGGGGATCGGGGTGGGAGAGATAAAACATAAAAAAAAGGTAGGGAAGGAAAAAAAAAGGAGGAAGGAAGGAAGGAAGGAAGAAAGAAAAGAAAGGAGGAAGGAAGAAAAGGAAGGAAGGAAAGAAAGGAAGGAGGGAAGGAAGAAAGAATGAAAGAACAAAGAAAGAAAAGGAAGGAAGGAAAGAAAGGAAGGAGGGAAGGAAGAAAGAATGAAAGAACAAAGAAAGAAAATGAAAGAAAGAAAGAGAAAGAGGGAAAAAAGATAAATGGTTTTACAGGAACTGATGGCTTATGTTAATCAC